GCCCATGGTGGACAGATTTCAGCTGAGCATCCAGATGAAGACAGATTAGGAAAAAGGGGAGACAAAGTACTTCCTAATGCTTAGCCACTAAAACCCTAATCAATAGCAGTGAAAAACTATCAGATAGCCCTGGAATATTGAATATTGATGAAAAGCACCAGAATATTGTCATATTCAGTGTCGGAAGATGAGACCCTCAGGTTGGAAGGCACTCAAAATACGACCAGGGAAGAGCTGCCTCCTCAAAGTAGAGTTGCCCGTGATGACGTGAATGGAGTAAAGCCCTCGGGACCTTCATTTGCTGATGGGGCACAGCTCAAAATGAGGAGAGACAGCTGCACACATCATTCATACTGAGAACATGCAATGTACAAAGTATAAATCTAGGAAAATTGGAAATTGTCAAAAATGAAATGGATAAAACTAAAGTTCCCCCATGTAAACTATCATGTAATTCACAATAAAACATTAAATATATATATAGAATGAAAAAAAAAAGAGATGGAATGCATAAACATTGATATCCTAGGCATTGGTGAGCTGAAATGGACTGGTATTGGCCACTTTGAATCTGACAATCACGAGGTTCACTATGACGGGAATGACAAATTGAAGAGAAAAGGTATCACATTCGTCATCAAAAAGAACATATCAAAATCTGTCATGAAGTGCAATGCTGTCTGTGATAGGAAAATATCCATACACCTACCAGGAAAACCAGTTAAAACCACTATGATTCAAATTTATGAACTGTTATTAGGTGCCATCGACTCGGTACCGAGTCATAGTGACCTTATATAGGGTTTCCAAGGAGTGGGTGGTGAGTTTGAACCATTGACTTTGTGGTTCAAACCAACCTTGCGATCCAGTGATTCATCCCACAGCACCCACACGTGGACTTGTAAAGACAATAGTAAACGAGAAGAAAACTCAACACTGTTCCTAACTAAAAGGTTGGAAGTTTGGGTCCACCCAGAGGCATGGTGGAAGAAAGTCCTGGTTATCTACATTGGGAAAACCAGCCATTGAAACCCCCCTGGGGCTCAGTTCTGCTCTGAAACACGTGGGGGCGCCATGGGTCAGGGCCAACTCGATGGCCACTGTTTCTGGGCTGCCTGGGAAAGGTGCAGGGCCTCGCCACTTCCAGGGCTCTGCAGTGCGGTGCCAAGACTGAACACCCAAGAGTGTGTGTACCTGTCCACAGGTGATGACCGAGGAGCAGGTGGCCTACAACTGGACAGCAGCCCCTGCTGTACTCAGGAGACCAGGCCCAGGGGGCACTGGCCAACCAGACACAGGTCTTTAACCCCACTGTCCCTGCTGTGCCCAGCACAGACTATCTATGCGTGCACACGGTTACCCTAGCAGCTGCTTGCCCCAGGCCACGCAACTGGCCAAGAATGGGCCCTGTTTCCCCAGGCGTCAAGGGGCCCAAGGGCCGTTGGGAATGCTTGTGTTGAAAAGTGACCACAAACAGCTCCCAGGTGGGGAGAGGAGGAAGCGAAATGGGGCAACCGATCCCTGATGCCTTGTGGGGGGCAGGAGCGGGAAGGGATGTGCTGGGGCTCCCTCCTGACAACGGGGAGTCCAGAAGAGTCTGGGGACATTTCAGGATCAGGGATGGGTGGGGTGGGGGAGTCCTTCTTCCCATGGGAATCCCTGGAGGAGGTGAGATGGGACTGGCTGAATTTAGGGCACTAGGGAGCTACTGGAGGATTAGGAGCAGGGCAGGGCTGAGCGCTCTGGAGGCTGCTCACAACCCTTACAGATATTGGAGGTTGAAAGGCACAAGGCACTCACGTCTTGGTTCTTACTGGTGGGGAAAACAATGCCGGAAAGGAAGCGCTAGAACAGTTGGGACCTGGCTTGGGGAGAGGTGAGGCCCCAGCTGGCTGGAGAAAGAGAGAAGAGGGCCTGGGGCTCAGGAGGGGGAATGAACAGGGTGAGGGGAGCAGGCTGAGGGTACTAAGCCTGGGGGAGATACTGCAAGGGGCCAGGCCTAAGACTGTCGTTGTCAAGTGCCACGGAGTTGCTTCCAACTCATAGTGACTCTGTATGGGGTTTCCAAGGCTTTTTTTTACAACAGTCTTTTCGAGAGCAGAAAGCCTCATCGTTCTCCTGTGCTGAGAGGCTGATGGGCTCAAACCACCGACCTTGTGATTTACAGTCCAGTTTTTATCAAACAGATCCATCCCATGCTCCAGCCCCCTGGCAACATGAATGTGCTTTCTATCTTAGTGAATTTGCCAGTTCTGAACAGTTCACGTGAGTGGAACCATACAGGATGTGGCCTTTGTGACTGACTTCTTTCACTGAGCCCCATGTTGTCGAGGTTCGTCCACGTTGTTAACACTAAGTAATAATCCACTGTAAGGAAGGGCCACAGCGAGTCTGTCCATAGTTGTTTGCTGACACTTGAACTGTTGTAAATAACACAGCTATGAACATTTGTGTTCAAGTTTTTCTGTGTTATCATTTCTCCTGGGTATCTACCTAGAAGGAGTATTTTTCCTATGTGGAAAAACCTGTACATTTGCCTACCTGCTAATTGGACTGGTACATGCATCATCCTAGCATACATATCCTTGCCGTAACCTATTCTTTTGAAGATCAACCTTTATTAGTCCCCATAAACACTCCCTTGAGCCAAATCACACGTACCTTGCAACTTATCCCCCTATTTGTGGTCCTAGGAATCCAGGTGTAGGAACCAAAGAAGCAGGAACTTCAGTCTCTGCAGCCCTATCCTCTTCTCTATGAGAAAGCTTAGATGAACTGTCTCTACAACTTAAAGGAGGAGCTGACTTTCTGCTCCCGTCAAGATTTACCACCTCGGAAACCCTGTACAGGGTCACTATGAGTCGGAACCGACTCCACGGCACATAACCACCACCAACCACCAGAACTGGCAGGTTTTATTGGACTCCTGGTGTGGTGCTGTAGGGGTTAGCACTGGGCTGCAAACCACAAGGTCGGAGGTTCAAATGCACCAGCTGCTCCTCAGAAACCCTATGCCGGGTCACTATGAGTCAGAACTGACTCAATGGCACTTAACAATAACAAATGCTAACTGGAGAGTGCTGGTGTGACGCTGTAGGATAAAGCAGTAGGCTGCTAACCACAAAGTCAGCAGTTCGAGTCCACCAGCTGCTCTCTGGGAGAAACATGATACTTTCCGCTCCCACAAAGATGTAAAGCCTAGGAAACGCTATACGGGGTCTCTGGGAGTCAGAACCAGACTCAATGGCACTTAACAACAACAACAGCTAATGTTGTCAGGAAGGACAAGTCGTTGAGTGTCATCGTGCTTGTTAAAGTGGAGGATCTGCGAAAACGTGGAAGAGCCTCAGTGAGATGGGTTGGTACAAAGGCACCAGCAATGAGTGTAAGGATGGCATGGGACCGGGCTGTGTTTCGGTTCTGTTGTATGTAGGATCACCTAACAACAGTGGCTAATGAAAGGAGCCTGGTAGCACTGTGGGTTAAGCATTAACTCAACACATGGCTGGTGGTTCAAACCCACCAGCTGCTCCTCGGAGACCCTATACAGGGTCGGAATCGACTATAGGACACTTTACAACAACAACAACCAGTGTGAATCTGCAGTGTTGGGGTGGCTCTCTAGGCTAATGCACTGCACCACAAGGTCAGTTTGAACCATGAGTCGGTGGTTCAAACTCATCAACTGATCCTTGGAAACCCAATCCAGGGTCACTGTGAGTTGGAAACAACTTCAGGGCACTTAACAACAACAACTGGTGAATTTATTGGCTATTTGTGGATCTTTGGAGAAATGTCAACTCAAGACCTTTGTTTAAGTGATTGATTCTTTCTGTTGTTGAGCTTTAAGAATTCTTTGTATGTTCTGGATTCCCAATCTTCTTATTCTTTCCTGGTGCCCACATTAGCACCCATCTCTTGCCCCAAGTCCTGGGTGCCACGAAGGAAGAAGGGAGACAAAGTCATCAGTACCACATGGCTCCCGATCCCACTTGATCTTAACCCCATTTTACAGATGTGGAAACTGAGGCACTTAGGATCCACAGATTCTTTAAACGGGCAGGACTTGAATCCAGACCTGCTGAGTCCCATCCAAAGCCTTCATGGATACCACTGGGTACACTGGTGCACAGATTGGGGAAATTGAGGTAAGGTGGGCATCACAGTCCTGCTTATATTTGTCGAGTTCCTGGTCGTGTGCCCCATTCAGGGCGGTCATCCTCATAGTGCCCGGAACTGGGGTCCCATTTTACAGAAAAAGGGGAGCAGCTGGAGGAATTCAGGCTGGCCCTTTGAGCCTTGAGCAACTTGTGGCTTTCCTGCGGGTTGGGACTGGCCCCATGGGGGGGCGTGCCAATGCCCAGGGCCCCAGTATAAGGGCTGAAGTCGCCCCCAGCCTCCACAGCCCCCACCATGCCTGTGCTCCCACTTGTAGCCCTCCTGAGTAGCCTGCTGGCGTCCACGTGGGCCGGTGAGTGTCCCCAGGAGACCCCCTCCATCTGTGCTGGGGGGCTTGCCCTCTTGGGAATCAGAGAAATAAGGAGACCTAACCTAAGCCACCCATCCTGGTCCTGGGCATCAAGGACTGCTCGGGCCCATCTGTCCCCTTTAGGAACGGGGGAGGGTAGGGTCTCCCCTGTGGCTGCGTGGCGGGGAGTTGAGGTGAAACTGGGAGGGGCTTCAGAGCCGCCCCCTCTCCGCAGGCTCGGCCCCGGGAGCTGGCATCGTGGGCGGCAAGAAGGTTAGGCGTGGGGAGTTCCCCTTCCTGGCCTCGATTCAGCATGAGGGGAACCACTTCTGCGGGGGCGCCCTAATCCACAGGCGCTTCGTCCTCACTGCGGCCAGCTGCTTCCGTGTCAGGTAAGGGGGTCTGAAAGACTGGACAGAGCTCAGAGGAGGGCTTGGGGTGGGGGAGGAGAGGCGCCCCTTATTTGACTCCTCACTGCCCTGGGACCCACCCAGACTGTCTGGAACTTCCTCACCGGGCCCCAACCTAATGTTTCCTCTCCTTCATCTCCCCGCTGCCCCAGGAACCCGGGAATTACCACTGTGGTGTTGGGGGTCTACGATTTGAGACGCCGTGAGAGTTCGAGACAGACCTTCTCTGTCAGGAGCATCAGTGAGAATGGTTATGACCCCCAGCAAAGCCTGAACGATGTGCTTCTGCTGCAGGTGGGGGCAAGGGCGGCCATCAGGGCATTGTGACCCAGCCCGGGGAGGGGGGCCCCAGAAACCCTATACAGGATCGCTATGGGTCGGAATTTCACAACAACAACAAGGCAAAGGGCGAAGGGGAAAACATGCAGAGTGAGAAACAGCATGTGCAAAGGCCCTGGGGTGTTGAGTTGCTAACAGGAGAAAGATGAGGCATCTGCTCCTAGAAAGATGCACACACAGCCTGGAAACCCTATGTTGTTGTTGTTGTAAAGTGCCGTCGAGTCAGATCCGACCCATAGTGACCCTGTACAGGGTTTCCGAGGCTGTGAATCTTTACGGGAGCAGAACGCCTCATCTTTCTCCCACAGAGCGGCTGGTAGTTTCGAACCGCTGGCCTTAAGGTTCGCAGCCCTATTCGTAACCACTACGCTACCAGAGCTCCTTGGGAAACCCTATGGGCAGGTCTGTTTTCTCCTGTAGGGTTGCTGTGAGTCAGAATGACCTGATGGCAGTGAGTTTTTTGGTTTTGGTGTGTACAGGGGCCTCTTTGTTTCCTTTGATGGTTAAAAAATTACAGCAAAGTGCCCACAACAGACGCATCATAGCATGTTTGGCCTCCTGTTGGTGTGGGCTTAAGCTGTTTCCAAATATTTTTGCTATGCCAAAATCATAGTGCGCTTCTTGGTTCATATTTCAAACCACTTTGTGGAAATGGATCTATGAGTATCCACTCCCCAAGCAGAATTAGAAACTGCCCGTCTCTCCACATCTTCACTGACACCGGGTATTATGATTTTTATAGAAGACGGGACGTGGTACCTGGTAGGTTTGTCTCCATCTCCTGGGCAAACCCAATACTTTCAGGGTCTCAGTTTGTCCTCCCACCCACCCTCATGATAGAAATTAGTTATCATTCTCTTTCTAAATGGGAGGAACCCTGGTGGCACAATGGGTTAAGCATTGAAGCTGTTAGCTGGAAGGTCAGCAGTTCAAATCCGCTAGTCTCTCCTCCGGAGAAAGGTTTTCTGCTCCATAAAAATGTACAGCATCAGAGACGCTAGGGAGCAGTTTCACTGGGCCTCGTAGTGTGGCTGCAAGTCGGGATCAACTCGCTGGCACTGGGGTTGGTGTTTCTAAGTGGGGGGGACAAGAGGCCCAGAGAGAGAAGGCACTCAGAATTCTACAGCACCCCTGGGATTGAACCCAGACCACTCACAGATCAAAAGTCACAGCTCCTATCCCCACGTGGGACTCCCCGAGGGTCCAGACCCCTGTCCCACCCCCTCCCCACTCGGTTTGCCTCCCCAGCTGGACCGTGAGGCCAACCTGACCAGCAGTGTGGCACTGGTGCCGCTACCCGCACAAAACACCACGGTGGAAGCCGGCACCCGCTGCCAGGTGGCCGGCTGGGGGCTCACGCAGCGCAGTAGATTCCTCTCCCGCTTTCCAAGGGTCGTCAACGTCACCGTGACCCCTGAGGAGCAGTGTCGTCCAAACAACGTGTGCACGGGTGTGCTTACTCGCCGGGGAGGCATCTGCCAGGTACGGGCCGGGCAAGACTTCCCATGGTGGGAAGAAGCAAAGTCAGGCTGCTTCCTGGGGGCTGAGGGAGGGTGCTCCTGGGGCGTCAGGTAGTGTTCCTAGAGGGGTATGAGACCCAAAAGTCAATTAGGAGCTAAGCAGGCAGAGGGTGGCAGGAAGAATGTGCAGAAAGCCAGAACAGACAGCATGTGCAAAGGGCCTGTGGTTAGAATGAGACTTGTGGACTCCAGGCGTAGAGAAAGGTTCAGACCACAAATTGCTTGCCCGTGTCCTGGGATGGGATGGAGAGCTGGGCCCAGGGCACTCTAACACTCCTACTTCCACCCAGGGTGACGGGGGCACCCCCCTTATCTGCAACGGCCTGGCCCATGGTGTGGCCTCCTTCTCTCTAGGGCCCTGTGGAAGGGGCCCCGACTTCTTCGCCCGTGTGGCTCTCTTTCGAGACTGGATTGACTCCATTCTAAACACTCCATCAGATGAGCCTGTCAGGGGACTGTGACCCCTCCACCCCCTGCCCCGGAGCCCAACCCTGCCATCCACACCACTCACACCCTGTGGCCATGTCTCTGGTCCTACGAACGTCCTTCAAATTGCACCTCTGGGCCTGCACACGCCTCCCTCAGGTTCCTCTGGTTGAGATGCTAATAAAAGAAGTCATTGGTCTTCTGAATCTGATTTCTGCGTCACGGGGGTGGGAGACGGCCCTGTGGGCTTTGGGGAGGGGTCTGTGTAATTGTCTGCTGTGCACACTGAGTCCCATACTGGACGCCCCCCAAATCAGAGGCTGCTGAGAGCTGCACCTTCCAGAGGGACCCCAGGGGTTCAGTGAGGCTGGGTGTTCCACCTGAGGTCACACACACAGCCAGTATGGGTTTCAAACCCTAGTTTGTGGGATTCTGGTCCCCAGCTCAGGTTTTTAATGATAATGGTGCTGATAAAATACATGTAAGGAAAACATTTGTAATTTTGGCCATTTTTAAGGAAGATTGTATTTACCATATTGTACAGTCATCACCGTATTTCCTTTTATCCCCCTAAACAGAAACACAAGGGGACCCTGGTGGCACTGTGGGATAACCACATGGTCGGTGGTTCAAACCCACCAGCCGCTCCTCTGAAATGCTGTGAGTCGGAACAGACTCAATGACACTTAACAACAGCAACAACAAACATATAGTGGCCGTGTATGATAAGCACTGAATTGCTAACAGCAAAGTCGATGGTTCAAACCCACCAGTCGCTCCAATGGAGAAAGATGAGGCGTTCTGCTCCCATAAAGATTTATAGCCTCAAACCTTATACAAGGTCGTTGTGAGTCAGGACTGACCCGACACAGAACGACAGCAGTTACAAGACCCCTGGTGGTGTTACAGTGGTTAACCAAAGGTCATTGGTTCAAACCAGTCCAAGGACTGTTGAGAGAGCGCCTCGGTGGTCTGGTCCCATAAAGTTGGCAGCCTGGGAGACCCTATGGGGCAGTTCCACCCTGTCACACAGAGTTGTAATGAATCGAAAACCAACTCAGCAGCACGTACTTAAATAGTAACCCCAGGTGGTGACCTGGCTGCACTGGTGGACAAGTATGTTTGAGCTTTTGTTTTCAATTGGGGGGGGGGCAGAGATCTAGGAGTGGGATTATGGGTTCATACGGTGTTTCTGTCCACCCCTCTTCTGTCAGTTTGTCGTATTGCGGTGGCTTTCCTGTCGCTGTGAAGCTGAAAGCTATACCACCAGTATTTCAAATACCAGCAGGGTCACCCACGGTGGACAGGTTTCAGCTGAGCTTCCAGACAAAGACAGACGAGGAAGAAGAAGGAAGTGGTCTGCTTCTGAGGCATTTGTCGGTTGCAGCTGATAGCAACCCTGTATAGGGTTTCCAAGGAGCTTCTGGTGGGTTTGAACTGCCGACCTTGAGGTTCACAGTCCAGTGCTGATCCTATCGTGCTGCACCAGAGACGCATTAGTCAGGGGGACATGGTCTGATAGAGGACCAGAAGACGAGCCCTTCAGGTTGGAAGTAACTCAGCATAGACAGCAGCTACAACCATGGGATCCAACAAAACAATTGTGAGGAAGCTATAGGACCAAGCTGCCAAAGTTTCCATCTGTTATGCATAGGGTCCTTATGAGTTGGAACTGGCTCAATGACACCTAACACTAACAACATGGTGTTTCTATGTTTAACTTTCTAAGGAATCACCAACCTGGTTTTCACAGTGGCTGTAACTTTTACATTCTCACCAGGAACGCATGAGGTTCCCAATTTCCCCACATCTCTGTCCCATCCACTGTTGGGCAGGCTAATTTCAGAGCACACTGCGGTGCCTTGTTTGTGCGTCGTGTTTCTTGTTGGTTAAAACTGTGTGTTTCGTAGGCTGGACTGAGGTTCCCTGATATCATGGCTCTATCACTGGACAAAAGCAGGCAGAGTGTGGGTACTGAAAGGGTATCTACTGTTTCAGCTATCTAAATTTGGATGCAAGGAACCTGGATGGTGCAGTGAGTGAAGCATTGCATTTCTGACTGCAAGGTAAGTGGTTCAAATCCAACAAGTGCTCCATGGGAGAAAGCTGAGGCTGTCTGCTCCCACAAAGATTTCGTTCTGGAAATCCTATGTAGGGTCACTATGAATGGGGAGTGACTTTAATGACTCATTGCCCGCTAAGCTTCCTAACTCATCTTTCACGTTAGTGTCTGTTTGGTCCCCTTATAGGTAGATCTAGAGTCCTGGTGTGGCACTGTGGGTCAGAACCAACTCAACGGCACTTCACAACGACAACGACAACACAGATCTTAAACGAGTGCACCAGTCAAGGCAGACATTGCTTGATATCTAAACTTGACTATTTATTGTTCTAAGAAGAGCTCAGGGAATCTATTTAGCTTAAGGTTCAAATGAATGGTTTCAAATTCAGAAAGGTGTGGGTCAGGGTTGTGTTCTTTCACCATACTTATTCAACCTGTATGCTGAGCAAATAATACGAGAAGCTGGGTTCTATGAAGAAAAACATGGCATCAGGATTGGAGGAAGACTCATTAACAACCTGCGATATGCAGATGATACAACCTTGATCGCTGAAAGTGAAGAGGACTTGAAACATTTACTGATGAAGATTAAAGAGCACAGCCTTCAGTGTGGATTGCATCTCAGTGTCAAGAAAACAAAAATCCTCACCACTGGACCAATAAACAACATTCTTATCAATGGAGAAAAGATTGAAGTTGTCAAGGACGTCATTCTTCTTGGATCAACTATCAACACTCACGGAAGCAGCAGTCAAGAGATCAGACGACGTATTGCATTGGGCAAATCTGCTGCACAAGACCTCTTTAAAGTGTTGAAGAGCAAAGATGTCAGCTTGAGGACTAAGGAGCGCCTGACCCAAGCCATGGTATTTTCAATAACCTCATATGCATGCGAAAGCTGGACAGTGAGTAAGGAAGACCATAGAAGAACTGATGCTTTGGGGTTATGGTGTTGGAGAAGAATATTGAAAGTGCCATGGGCTGCCAAAAGAACCAATAGATCTGTGTTGGAAGAAGTGCAGCCAGAATGCTCCATGGAGGCCAGGATGGCCAGACTTTGTCTCTCATACATTCAGTGAGATTCCACAGGAGAGTCCCCTCTGGGAGGGGCTCGCTACCTGGTACACCCAGGGGAGAAACAGAGACAGCGAGATAGAGAGACACAGAGGGGAGAAAGAGAGACATAGACAGAAAGAGGTAGAAAGAGAAATGGAGAAAGAGAGACAGAGTAAGAGACAGAGAAAGGAAGAAGGGAGAGACAGAGAGAGAGAGAGAGACATAGATGGAGAGAGGTGGAGATAGATATAGAGACAGGGAGGGGAGAGAGAGAAATAGAAAGAGAAGCAGGGAGAGGTAGACGAACAGAGACACAGAGATGAAGAGGGACAGAGAAGATTGAGAGACAGAGAAGACGAGAGCCCGTGGTATCTCCTGTTGGGGCCGTTTAGCCAGGACCTGGAGACACCCACACGCAGGCCATGTTCCTTTGGCCGTTGTCGGTTGTGACACTCACAGTTGGAGCAGGAAGGGGTTGAGACCACAGCTTCCAGCCCCTACTTCCCCTCCAACACCAGCCTGACCCCCATGGATGGGTTGATCCAAGGTCCCACCTCTCCCCATCACAGCCCTGCCAGGCAGGGTGCCCCAGGCATGCCCAGCCCAGCCATTCCTCCCTGGCCTGGCCCTCTGCACCCTGACACTGGCTTCCTCTTCCATGCATTCTCCAGGGACTGCAGGAAAGGACACTAGGCAGTCTCCCGGCCCACAGTGGCCGCTGTGGTCTCTCCAGCAGCTCCCTGCCCCAGAGCTCCAGCAGGCTTGGGAGCTGGCCAGAACTCAGCTGATTCCTAAGGGAAATGACTTATCCAGGTGTGCACCAGAGTTTGTTTGGTCTAACGGAGGTTTGAGGGGTTCTCTCTGTGCCAGGAAGGTGCTCAGGTAGTGTAGTGGTTATGAGTCGGGCTGCTAACTCAAGGTCAGCAGTTCGAAACTACCAGCCTTTCCACAGGAGAAAGATGAGGCTTTCTGCTTCCCTAAAGGTTTACAGCCTCGAGAACCCCATACAGGGTCGCAATGGACCGGAACCGACTCCACGACACATACCCACCACATTCACCTCTGTGTCCGGGCCTTCCTACTCTCTTGTGTCTCCTAGTGCCGGAGCGTGAGGGTCTTCCAAGAGCAGGCATTAGATGTCACTCAGGCTGGCCAGCCGAATCCAAGGAAGACATTCTCTCCCTGTGGGTTCCGGGGTAGTTCCTTGCTTCTTTCAGCCTCTGTGTTCCTGGGTTCCTTGGGGATCCCCACATGTTCCAGCCTAACTCAGTAAAGACTGGCACCCTTGAGCACTGAGTTCTATACAAGACCAAATGGTCAACAGCTATCATAAAGCCCAGGTCAGAAAGCTGGGGTGCAGGGCATTGACATCGGCAAGAGTGAAATTACCAGAACAGAAAGAAGGAGAATGGAACCCGGTTTATCCATCGGTATGTCTAGAAATGGTGGCCTGGGAGCGGGTTTTGTCCTGTATATTTTCACCAAGAGTAAAAGAGAATGCTAAAAGTTCTTAATTTTGTAAGATGGAACGTCAGTGGTTCAACCCCACCAGCTGCTCCATGGGAGAACGATGAGGCTTTCTGCTTCCCTAAAGATGCACAGCCTGAGAACCCCTAGACCTGGTCAGTGACACCTAACCCAACAGGTTTAAGGCACACACTACATCAACATGACTTTGTTAACCCAACAGAGAAAATTCTCTTCCCAAACGGAATCACATCCACGGGGCGT